CACGCCTTCCATTCGATGGGTACGGAGTTCTAATCCCGGATGGGAAGGTGGATATGTACTACTGATGAGCTCTAATAAGAGCAAAACTAGAGTCTAGTGCTTCCGAGTGCAAAGTTGAATCGATTAACTGAGGATTGTGCGTGAAAGTGAAGTCCTACGGATAGTCAGTCAAATTAATCAGTATGCAACAAAGAAAATTTGTATAGAAATCGTATAAATCATCTCTTTTTAGAGTATTTTTATTTGCTTCAAAGAAAATTTAACCCCGTAAAACTTGAGAAAAATGGAAAAGCTTTGCTATGTGGAGCAACACACACGACAGAGCTCTAGCGCATTGCCGATCTGTCAACGTCCATAGACTACGCAGATGGAAAAAGGTCAAGGGAGGTCAAACTAAGACCTGTCATCGGGGGGCGGGGGGGGGGTTAAAGATACTGAGGGATGTGGTTGTGTCGCAAACAGGGGAGCTCGTGCCTCCATTCATTATTTTTGCTACCCTAGTCTATATGATTTCTCTATTTTCTCCTTGACTCTACTCTCACCTTCGTGCGCCGGTTTTGGTGGTTGCTGTCTTTTAGTCGTTCATTTGGATGAATAATAGGAGAAAAACAGGAACGTTGAAGGTAGAGTCGAAGAGAAAATTGAGAATTCCAGTAAACTATGGCTGCAAAGAAATTGTGAAGATGCACGAACGCCACTGTTTACGACACCCAGTCATATCACTCAGTGTTTCTAACCATCGGGTATGATCTTCTCAAGGTCTCCAGCCAGGCGCATAGCAGGACCTATGTAAACTAGTTCCCTGGTCAGGGTTTTCATACCCTCGTGCATTGTTTTGAATCTTAGTGGTATTTTTTCACGGTATTACAAGCAATGGATGAGAGAATCGGACAGTATGAAGTCGAAGTCAGTGTATGTGGTTAGCCATCATCGATTGATGATGATTAATGTTCCTCAGATAGACTCTCCAGTTCGGATGCACTGGCTACCGTTTTCCTCTTGGCTTTTAGTTTTCCTTATGAAATGGTGCACATAACGGTGGTTAGGACCAAACACCACCTCTAATGTCCTCGGATATGTGATGTACTATGTAAACATTGTCATTCTTTGGATACGCCTAATCGGATGCCACTAACTAACAAGTGGGCTTAACTTCGGTTGCAATACCTGGTCGACCTAGCAGTAGCATATCCGCGACTTGCACGATACAGGTTCCTGGGAAATTTATTCTTCATTAAATTCCATCACTGTCAAAATATGGTAATATTGACTGCTTGAACAGTATGATTTCGAACAGAAATTGTATTTCTCTACCGATGGGAATTTCTCTCTTCACAGACACATGGAATTCAAGTATGCATAATCAACAGTTTACTCTCTTTTTGTATTCTCCCACCCAACCCCCGGACATGGATTTATTCAAATTGTAGCGTATTCCACACGGGACTGGACTAGATTTGAATCCGATTCAACGCTTACTGCCCACCAGTATGGAATTGAGCATGAATCAGAACGGTAAATCGATACCACCGGTCGATTTGCCAATCACCTTTGATGTGACCGATCGGACGACCGGAGTGTGTACGACCGGAGCGAGTAATGTGATACCGAAAAAAGTGTTTTCGTACACCGGTGTTACACAACAACCGAACAAAGAGACGGTACAATCCGCTCTGTTTGATGGCCTGTTCCCGTCGACAATTGAAGAGACAAAAAATTCCGATGATTTATTCACCAATTTGAATTTTTCCGAGGTCAGTTTGGGGAATAGATGAAGCTGTATGCTTGGCAAGATTTCCGAGTTATTCACACTGTTGACATTGTCTAGATAGGCGTTAGGCGGTGGTTTTCTGTCTAATAAAAAAAAACGAGACTTGAATTATGGGAAAATTACGGATTTGCGCCTCTCTAAGTATGCATTTTTATGCAGGGTTAATTTTACAATCTGTTTTTCAGTTTATTCTGACAGGTGAATTCGGTGTTTGCAATAGCTGTATAATTTTGTGACGTAATACCGGACTTTGAATTGGCATCCGTTCCGTTTGTATGATGAACCACGTGACTCATTGATAGAAATTTTTCGTATTGTACTTAGGGTGGGGGATAAATCATGACCAGAATAGGAGTACTATAGAATGTGATAATAGTTGCTAACAGCCTGAGCGATCTGTTGTCCATGGGAGCCGAAAATTTAGCTACAAAATTCAAGACTCGTTCCAGTGTGTGAGAAAGAAACGAGTCGTGAAATCCATGGAACGGACTGCTTGTTACTTCTCAATACATTGAATACGCTAATGTGCTGTGGCATCAGTAACTTTACACATTTTCGAATACATTTTCATCGACTGGACAATACCCGTAGACTGCATCAAGAAGTCAATGTGCTCGTTTTAGTAGTAGTAGTAGTAGTAGTAGGCAAATACAGCGTTCTTTTCTAGGTCACAAAATCACAATTTAAGGAAATAGAATAAGCGTAAATAAGGTCTGCGTTTGTATGCATGGATAAAGATACTATGGATAATATAGTAATAAGTGTACGAGAGTTCAAATCAATTAACAAATGTCATTTGTACTGTCGAATGA